ATATATAAATTTAAATTAAATATTACCAATACTATTCTTTTGTATCCAACTAAACATTAATGCAGTAGTTGTATTTTTAAAATATGGTGAAAACTCACCAATATTTTGTGATAATTTATTCGAATCTAAAGCTTTGTCAGCAATATCTTCAAAAAATTTGTCTTCAACTGATGTCAATAAACTATCACTGCTTAATTCATCACTTAACTCATTGCTTAATTCATCGCAAGAATTAATGCTATTGCTAGAAGTTTCAGAAATAAATTCTTCACAAGAATTTATATCTTTATCTAATTCTTCAGAAGAATATATAGCAGATTTATTATTGTCTTCTTCAAAAGAATATTCATTAGATTCTTCATAATACTCCATTGGTTCATCTGAAGAATATACAGAAGGGTCTAACTGTATCGTAGAACTTTCTGAAGAATCTTGTGTTAAAGGTTTAGAAGTGTTATAAGAAAATCTTTGTCTTAATGAAAAAAATTTATTATTTTTATCATTGTTTGTTCCAAATTTATTGCGCAACATGTTTATAAAACAATTATAGAGAAAAGAAATATTTGATAAAATAAAAAGAAAGAAAGAAAGAAAGAGATATTTAATAAACTAGAAAGAGAACTAAAATAACTATCTTTATAACTTGTAAAAACAATCGAGTAAAAAATGCGAACTTTTATTAATATTTATAAGGCCATACAAAGACAATTTTTTGGTTCTCATAACATAAAATTTTAAAAATGATCCAGCAACCCGGTTTTAATTTTATTTTCAAAAAATTTTATATACAAAAAACATATAAAAATTTTTTATAAACATTTAAAAGGTCACCCGGGTAATAAATATAGTTACAGCTATTTTCATAATTTCTAGAATACCTGCTCATTACCTGAAATCTTTTTGGTTATTCAGTAAATTATCTAACTCTCCGGAAACTACATTGCTGTCTTCAGACCTTCAGTCCGGAGGCAGTGATGTAATTTCTGGAGAGTTAGGTAATTTGCCAAACGAACAAAAAGATTTTGGATAATGAGCAAATGTTCCAGAAATTATGAAAATAGCTGTAAAAATTTTTTTCAAGTTTTGCAAAATTTGACCCGGCCGGGTTATAAGAACCAATTTATTAAATTTTTTTTTTTTTTTTTTTTTTTTTTAAGGTGAGGCCTTGCTCATATCTTTATTAGCAATTTATTTGAGTAATTATA